CAAGAGGCAAAAAAGCAAACCAAGTGACAGTGTTTTGATGTGACTCTAAGAAACAGTAAACTTGTAACTTGTTCTTTTAAAGAGATAATATGCAGCCAGTGACACCTCAGAAAGTAACTAATTATCCTCAGCTTCGCTGAGCTTTTTTAAGCTTTCGAGTTAAGTGGAGTTGGAAGAGCAACAAATCAACTTTAAGTGTGTTGCCAACCGTTTCCATTAAGAAATATTCATTTAATTTCAATTCGAGGAGGATAAGCTTATGAAGACGGTGAGGTTCCCACTATCGAATATGACCGTGATTTCAAATTTAAGCGCTAAATACGTAATAATTTATACGGTTTTTCTCATAATAATTTCATCCACATGCTTGATCACAACCATAACCGTTGGTAGTAAATTGTCAGAGCCTTGCCTTCTTGAATGTGCTCTCTGTAGCATGATCAACGGGTCCCGTTGTGTCACTAGAATCATTTCATGAAAGCCTCTGATACGGTTTTGGATTACGCATTTGAGTGTACTGCTCACACGTGCTTAATTATCGTTTGAGAATAATATGATGGGGATTTCTCCACACCTCGATCAAGCATTTACTTGAATGATCTAGTTTTTAACGGACGTGGTTGGTATGAGATCGTTTCGTGTTCGAATAGTTATTATGCTATAACATGTTTGATTATTAACACAAAAAGGTATATTATTTTGAGAATTAAGGGGGTATATATTGAGTAGGGTAGGGGGTGTGGTTGCAATTGCAGACGCAAGCCCTGAAACTCAACTCCCGTTGACTCATTCTTTCCGGTGAGAAAAAGAAAGCTTTGTATTAAATATGATAGGAGGGGAATGGGAACACTCAGCGCTGATTGCGGCATTTGAAATCACTACTTAATTTCTTAATAATAATAATACAGATGAGACCTAACTCTCAGAACTTTCATTGGAGACCATAATATATTCTGTTGTATCATTTACCAGGAAATTTTATATTGGATTTTGATCAAGTTATCGGGCGCACATGATGATGATGATGGCATAAGTCAAAGTCAAAAAGTAATATTTTGCAGGGATAAATATGGTAAATTACAGATTATAAAGAGATTCGAAATAGAAGAACAAAATCGATAAAATGTCATCTCATAAGTAGTAGTTTCGATTTGGGTGAATATTTGGAGCGGATGGAGGTAAATTTCGATTACATGATATTAATTATTGTTATCGTCGCGTAATTAGTCCCACCTATATTCGTTTGTTATTTTAATGAGAAGAAAAAGACATTCGCTTAGGTATAGTTTGATAGAATTCACGGGATACAAAACGACTCAACATGGACGATCTTTTGGAAAGATGGATTATTTCTACACACAATGATTCAAGTCATAAACAACTACTAACAAACAGTTCATTCTTGTATACAACGATGTATACGAGGTGTCAAATATTAATAAAGTAGTGCATGTTGAGCCACTCGCGAATTCGTGACCACCTTCCTCCATACCATACACAACCCCACCACTTGTTCAAATATGCTTGTAGAAGTCGTTAATGTTATTTCTATTAATTTGTACGAATGGCGGGTCAGTTTTTATTTGTATTAATTACTCTTGATTTGGATTATGATTGTAGTATGTATAACCAAGGCCGGTTCGCCCACTAAAACGATACGTGAGCTGGGTTCAGAATGTCACACCTCTTTAATTAACGTACCGGTTGTCGTGCTCACCGTAAACACTAGGTAGCTAAATGTATATATATATATATATAGTAAGCCCACTCCAACAATGATTGCTCTCATTATTCCGACTTCCTCCACGACTCCCATTTCCTCCTTGGTTAAGGCAGATCAAAGTCTAGCTTCGCTTACACATGCATGTGACATGCACTATACACCACTGTGCCAACTCCCACACTGCGCGTCTGAGTCCTAGGGTTTCCAAATCGCGAATCACTAAACACACACACAAAAAGAAGAATGTCAGGATTGAGATTTGAGAGAGTGAACCAAGAAACCAAATATTGTGGCTTATGGCTAATTGGCTATGGGAATGCAAAGGTTACGTTTCCTGGTTTAATGTTGACTTTGGATAATTGTTTGTTCCCCAAACCGGCCCACCCGGCCCACATGGTAGCTGCAGTTGGGTTCTTCTCTGGTCATTTTGAAACCCAAATCCTATAAAAATATATTAACCTGTTGGATCAGCCTTTCTTTGGGTTTCCTTTCACAAAGGTCAACCCTGACTTTTGCTCTTTGAAACGGTCAATCGATCTTCTCTGGTCCTCATATTTTATAGAGATATATGTGAAAATCGGAATCTGATGTACGTTGTGTCGTGGGCGTCTTCGATTTGAGTCGAGTCTTCTCCCTTTCCAAAGCTTAATGACGAAGGAGTATAGAAGAAGAACACATGGTTGACAACTTGACATGACAAGGTGGCTGGGTTTGACTGTTATTTCAGAGAAAAACTTGGGTGGGACGGGTGCACCAGCAAGGATTGGTGATGTGGTGCACCCGACCAATTATATCCCGCCACGTGTCACACATTATTATGTATCCGAAATTAAAATTTAAAAATCCCTCTTTCTTCGCGTTGCGGAGCTGCAGACTAGGTGATTATTTATTTCCCCTTTTTGAATGGATTGATTTGTCTTCGTAGTTTGTTCCCTTCCTATTAATTAATAATTAATTAAATAAGCACACCCCTGTAAAAGCCGATAAGCTTCACCGTTGTAAACCATTGTCGCCGACGAGATTACAGTTTCCACTTCAAGTCTTCAACACAAATCTATCGGTCGTCTCAATCCCCATTAAAGTTTTCGCTTCCGGTGCACAGCTAACGGGTCAGGGTTTAGGTTCTTTTCATCTTAACCAGTATTATTAACACATCAGATTTAAAATTGGTGATGGCGAGCAGCGCAGCGCAGACTCTGGTCAATCTAAGCTCAGCGGTGGATGAAGACGAGAGGTGTGGAGTTATCGCTCCTCTGATTCGCGTCCCCGACAAGACGCAACGGCAACGGAAAGCCCAGAGGCCTAAACGATTCCCTGCCATCCCAATCTCACCATCTCGCCGTAGAAAACAAAGCAAATTTGTTTCCCGCGTAGACCTTGTCGTCTGAACGAATTGGTCGTCCCTATCTCGCCGCATAAAGTACGAGCTCGCCGACGAAAGGAGGAAACTAATCGCCTAGTCTCCCGCAACCGCAATGACAGCTCAGCAACGCAGAAAAAGGGGAATTAAAGTTTTAATTTCATTTGCATAAAAATAATATGACACGTGGCCGGACGGGATTGGCCGGGTGCACCATATCACCAATCCTTGCTGGTGCACCCGTCCCACCCAAGTTTTTCTCGTTATTTCATTCACTAGTGCGGGCCCACCACCACCTCAAGTTCGACCGACTCGTTCAATGCCCGATTATTATAACAGTACTGTGATTAAAGCCTTTAGGCTTTTTTCGCTTTCATGGACCGGTTGGAAGTCAATAGAGGGCCCGGTGCAGAAAGGGCCCACGAAGAAGAAGTCCAGGCCCACCGCAAGAAGTCAGAATGGCTTTGATTACGATTTAGGTGGTTTGTTTGTTCCTGTGATTTCGATTCGATTATTGGAAGGTTTCGGAAATAGGAGGGTTATAGTGTGGTGGTTGGTTGCTCTCGTTTCTTTATCACGTGGTTAGAAGTTTAATTTGTGCTTTTAAGGGAATGGAATTCATTACCTGGTTAGGTATCAAGTCTTCGATTTTGATTAATCATGACTTCATTGTAAGATTCTTTTATTGACAATTACGGTTATATAAGTATAAACCATGACGAGCTTGTGCAAACTTCAACCTTAATGTACGAAATTTTGTTAAAGATGTAATATATAAGTGAACGACATAAAAATTCGCTTAAATGCTTCCAACAACTCGAGTGATTGGTATGAACTCGTCCATGGCTCTATCAAATAATTGTACATGAGAAAGGTGTGGTTGGAAACAGGTATAAATAGAAATATACATGTGCTAAGCACCGGATAGTAACAGGTTGGAAACTAGCTGAAATTGTCAAACGATGGCCAAAAAAGATGCAGCACATATAAATGCGAGGAGGCATCCAACAAGGCCAAGAAAGAAGCCGAAAATGTCAAATTAAAGGTGGCTGTGCCTGTTCATCAGCTGCCTCTTTTAAGAGAAAAAATTTGGCAGTTGGGTTTTGTCTGTGTCTGCTGCCAAAAATGGACGGCTTTCTTCCCAACCACCTTTTGCTGCCTCCCTCTCTCGTCTTTTCCTCAAGCTAGCTAGCTAGCTCTCATATTATCACTTTCGGTTCCCAAACGTGGTAGTAGTAGCAGCAGCAGTAGTTGGTATGAATGCAACCTGTTGATCTGAGGAAGACAGATGCAAAAGGGAGATAGAATGGAGAGATTCCCAGCCATGGATGCACCAAAAAGTCTTCACCATGGAGCAGATAACTCAGACGGACATATGCAGCGTGCTGCATCCCCATCAGGAACATATTCTTTTCTTGATTCAGGATTATGACCTTTTGACTAGATGTGAGGATGCTGATGTCACCTTATGTACCATGCCGGTCTACTTGTTCGTGGGTCTAGATGGATTCGATTGGATCGGCCTGCCCTGACTCGTCGCTCGAAGGAACAAATGCAATAGCTGAAGTTTATGTTGGGGCTCCACTCGGGTTGAGCAGACAGCCTCGTGATCTTGAACAGTAGGATCAACTTTCATAACCAAATCAAGGGAGATTTGATCAGACATGTCTTTCGAGGAGACATGCCGACAGATTGATGAAGTTGGTGACGGTGGGTTAATTGGTGAACCCACGCCAATTAGAGCTGTGTTGTCTTTGAATTGGGGAACCAAATGCTGCAGCTTGATTCGTGTAGAAAGCACCCAGTCAAATCGAGGGAGAGAAGTTAAACGGCCTAACTGCCTGATAGGGATGTGGACGGACCCAAATCGAGTAAGAAGAGCAACCCCTAGTTAGCACAAATAGAGTGACAGCTGAACGAACACAGATGAGTAGCCATTTACCCATTCAAGCTCTGTGCCTTGCATCTACAAAGGCTCCCAGATCACATCTTAGAAGATTTCATATTCATCCTATTCGGGCCGTTTTCATCTCGTCAAATTCCACAAACATAGATTAGCTCCAGATTCTTGTTCAGTGTCAAGAGCTCACTCAAACGCACCTTAAACCTCAGGCAAGAGATCCTTTCATGCACCAAAACTGCTCCTAAAGATCCAGGGAGTTGCTTCTACCTCAAAAATAGATGCTACACTGGGCTGGGATGTGGAACAATGTGGAGACAAGACGGCAAACTCATCCGAAACAAATCCTCACAAACAACAAAGAGAAGTCATTTTTCAAATTCGGACATGAAGGCTTGTCTCAATCTATGCTGATGGTCCACAACTCTTGATGGTCCGTGGCTCACGGGTCTTTAGCCGCGCCAGTGGCTTGTCTCAATCGACGCTGATGAACATCCCAATTATAGATCCGGGCGACTGTGACCTGCCAGATTGTAGTTTGCATGCATTATCATCAGTCATGGGTTAATTTTTAAGTTAATTGAGTCGAAAGGGTTTATGATATGTATGTACAAGTATTTACCTGTGTTATAGTGACCTGATCCCTCAGGAACTGCAAATCAGCAATAAGGACTTCTAAACTAGCTTTAGCATTCTCTAAATTCTTCTGCAGCAGGGCAGTGGCCTGTGAAATAAAATCATGGGGAAAGTCGCGTTCACACCCAGCCACAAACAACTTCTAACCAAAAGAAGAAACCTTAACGAGCCAGACAACATAAGTGCCAACCTCTTCACAAGAATACTCCAACATCACGTTTGCTCCCAGCCATAAACAAACCGAGTCACTTTCATCAATGGAAGCACGCGAGTAGATGCCTTCAGCAATTTCAAAGTCAGCAATAAGTGCCTGCATTCAGAATACGAACCACAAAAGCAGGAATTTTATCATGTATGCCTCTGGACTTTTAAGTCACAAAGAAGTACGAAGTATGACTTGCAAGAAACATCACTTGCAAATTAAATGTTTGTGCTGAACACAAGGGTGCGAAGCTAGCTCGAGTTTTCAGTTGGTTTTCCATGACAGAATACTAGACTAGGGCATAGATGAGCAAGACTTGACAATCTAGATACATATAAAAAACCAAATAAACCGGCTAGCACCCATTAGCCAATTAACTTGATAGCTGATGCAGGAAATAAATAAAAGCAAGAAAACACACAAAGAAGAAAGAAATAGGACAGTAAAAAATTAATAGTTTGGTTCCACAATCAGAGGACTACACTCGAATATTTAAAAGAGAAACATAAATCCTTCTGAAGGCGCAAGCCAAAGAAACATATAGAGAAACGAAATAGGCATCTGCAGGTTGACGTCTTGAAAGGGATGGGATGTATGAATTGTGAATTCCTGTACAGAAGCAAGCTTGGAAAGAGAAGAAACTGAATGATCAATAACCTAATAAATGTGGAGTTACACTGTGATTGTGCCTCTGCACACATAAAAGAGCCAAAACAAGGAATAAAAAATGCCATTTGCAAAAGTAAGCAACGATCATGTTCATATAGCCAACTGAGAATCATAATCTAGAGAACAAAACGAACCTCACCAGTACCCTTCTTAGACTGCAAAGTGGCTACCACGTCCAAGCATTTCTCAATGTCAGGGATCTTCGCCTGAAACCCAACACAAGGAAATAAATACAATTCAGGAACTGGGAAGAAGAAATCATCTCCAACCTGCTCTGACAACATAACTAGATGCAAAGACTATCGAGTTGCTAAGAGTAGTAAGTTTCAATTAAGACTCATTTCCTTAGTAGCTTCATAGCTCACTTTACTATCACCATTCAATAATCTCAGTTCTGGTATCAAGATCAGGTCGAAATTAACGGGTTCCATTTCCGAGTTTGAACAAAACCATAGCAATAAACACCCCACCAAGAAAATATAAAAAAACAGTACCTGAAGATCCCGTTGCTGGGCAAGGAGCTTCATCTCCACAACCCTATACTGCTGAAGCCTGCAAGTGACCCATGAAACATCACTCCTCAAAACAAAACATCGGAAAGAACCCTCTTCTACTTCACTAATCCCCATCTCAAAAACCAGCTCAAACACCAATCAAAACCCAACCTAGACATCTCAATTTTGCGAGCTCCGCACAACTTCAAACCAACTAAACCAGGATTAAAGGAGAGAAGAAATTAGGAAAGTCACCTTTCTTGAAGGAAGGAAAGGGCAGAGTTGACATCGAGTCCAGATTGGGTTAGATAAGTCTCCACATCTTCCACGAACTGAGCTCCCGGTATCCCTCTTCTCTCCGTAGCTCCCGCCGTCGAGGAAGCCATTAACTGGAATATTAACGGGTCCCCGAGAGAAAAAAAGCAGGAAGATGAGGATTTTAAAAAAAAAAAGTCGCGACTATTCTTTCTGCTTCTTGTTAGCTGAAGAGAAAGATGCAGAGGGTCCTAGACCTAAAAGCGCCGAGGATTTGGAATTCCTTTTCTGCTCGGCAAATCTGAAACAGTGAGGAAGGAAGGAGACTGTGACGAGAAGCTGAACTGCTGAAAGGTGTAATCGGAGACTTTCGACAGACAAACGCGACAGGAAGCATTGCATCAAAATGTTTGGCTTTGATTGGGCCGTAGGTGAGCTTACGCGTTGGGTTATTGGGCCTGCATTACAAAGAACGGGCCAGGGACTTGTTCTGATGGTCCATAGGATCCCCACTTGTAATTGCAGCCTATTAACAAGCAGGCCCAAAATTGTACTCAAATTTACAGAGAAAATCATCAAAATTGAAATAAAGTAAATTTCAGGGGCGTTCCGAGAATCGAACTCGGGACCTCTCGCACCCAAAGCGAGAATCATACCACTAGACCAAACGCCCAATTGGTGTTAGATTTAGTTAAACATTATATCTTAAAATAAAATTAAGTATGGGGTAACCCATCTCTCAAGTCTTGGTACAAGGTTTCAATATAGCTCAGCTCACCATCATATGAGAATCTCCAGTTAGGGATTCATTGCGATGGATCTTTATTACATAAATAACCCATTTATACTACCATTGTTTTCATGTGTCTTAGGAATAGGCTATTATTGGTGAGTGATTATTGCGTTTATATGGTGGCGATTCATTGTGAATATTCAGAATCTAAAAGTTGCTTCAAATTTAAAATTATTCTTTGATTAACAAGAGACAAGAAATTCAATATGTTGAGTTTAATTAGTTTAGAATGGTGATCGAGCCTGTATGATCGTGTATTCATATAATTATTAATGAATAATTATTTAACCGACAACGTTCTCTCTGATATATGTTCTTTTAACAATATTATACACTTAAAATTATCTCAGTTTTCAAATGTTAAGAGTGACACTTTTTGTCCCATTTTATTGTTAGCTTCCATGATTCCATGATGTAAAATTTTATGATAGTGATTGTGGGTTTGAGTTAGTGGAGGTTAATACGCTAGGCCCCCTACCCATTGGGATTAGGGACAAAATCCCATCTCCCCTCAATTATTGATTAGGGACACACAGCCTTGATTGAATTTTTCTACTCTAGAGATCAAAGTCTCCCCCCTTTGTTTGCATTACCCTAAGTTACGTTGTCTTTAGTACAACTTGATCCCATGGGTCTTTTGGTTCCATGCATAAAGCATAATCAAAAGTCCCATTCCATGGAAATGTGGAGGGATTTTAATGCAGAATCATTATCTTCTCTTAATGAACTGTTTGGCAGCTTCTTATATGCTAATATCAAACACAGGCTCTGACGAGTTCTCTTACAAACTTTTTAAACATCGACGGATCATAAATCTAAATGAGAGGCGCTGATTTGAACCGTAGTAATTAGGAGAAAGACTTAACTCAGATTGACTACTCTATTTCTTAAATTTGTTACAAATTTTACATATAATTTTTTCTCTGTTTTAAAATTGAGAGGAGCCTATAACTACACCTAGCTCCACCGTTGTTCTTAAAGCTCGCAACCTCACCAAACAAACACATTCGTACTCAAAAGAAAATAAAGAATTCCCAACATAACATAACATCACATTTAGTTGCCTTTACACGCTCTGGTCATAATCGAACTGAATTCAAAATACGATTCAACTCGAATTTTGACTCTCAACTCGTTCCAGAATGCACTTCCGCTCACCTTTAATCGGTCTTTCCTCGTTCATTTACAATCTAATACGGTAATACTATAACCAACTTAATTATAGTCCCCAATCCACACCCATGTTACCCCTAAAGTAGAGGGTAACCCTACTCCTATACCACATACACAAAGCTCTCACCAATTATTGATCCCCTCGATGTGATTAGAATTGCTCAAAGCTACAACACTAATTACTAGGCTCCTAGCTTAAGCACTCACACCACCCTCCACGTTACATTAGGAAGAGACTGATTTATACATCTAGCATTAGGTTACTACTTATAGGGTGAGGGTCATAATTAAGGAACATTATTAGCAAGAGGTGCATGAATGTATATCTCTTAATTACTTTTTTTGATGAAGGTGAGGAATGCATTAAAGAAAACAGTGAAAAGAAACATAGTCTTATACAGTTGTTGCACAAGAGGTGCAGCAAGCAAGAAACATAAAAAAAACCAACAGCGCTGCAGTGGAAGCCCAAAACCAGCCACAATGAACAAGGTAACGAACAACAGATAAAACAAAAGAACAGAACAATCAAGCTGATTAAACAACACAGCTCCAACCAAAACAATCCATCCCGATCCACCCAACACGCGTCACTGCATCAAAGCGAAGCCGTAGGAGGGATCCAAGCTGCGACGCACATCCAACATCCATCCCATGCCCTCCTCCCTGCTTATCTTTCCGTGAGCGATCAGGTTGTCAACAATGAGCAGAAGGGCTTTCTTAAGAACATCAGCAACACCAAGGCATCTGTCTCTAAAAACACGGCTGTTTCTTTCGAGCCACACCTGCCAGCTAATCACATGAAGAGCGCAAAAGCCAATCCATCCAACAAGGTTATCAGGAAGGTCGCTGCTCCATCTTTGAATGGCCATAAGAATGTCACCTGTCGGCGGGGCAAGAATGGAGCACACTCTGCCGAACCCCCTCCAAACTTGCTTGGCGAAATCACACTCAATCAACAAGTGATTAATGCTCTCCTCCGCACTGTGGCACATGTAGCACCGGTTGGCCAGCAACCAGCCTCTTCTCTGTAGGTTATCCAGCGTGAGGATCTTCTTGTGCGCGACCAGCCACATGAACGCCCTGATTTTGTGTGGGACAAACTTCCGCCACACCGACCTGTCCGGAAAGCTTCTCACGCCTGGGAATCTATTATCACTTAACTGCCTGTACAATCGATGAACAGAAAAACCACAATCTGTATTGGGGGACCAAACAATCCTACTAGGGCCACAAGGAACAAGGTTGGCCGCATCCGAATTAATAAGATTAAGAAAATCCACTCTCTCCCTCTCGGCCCCCCCTCTCAAAGTCGAATTAAGAGAAATGTTCCATTCAAGGTGCATACCTGTATTGTTGGCGAGGTCCGACACCCGGGCGTCAGGATCGGTAGCGACGGCAGCAACTCTTGGAGGCTCAGAGGTATGAGAGAGAGAAAATGTTAGAGAGAGAAAAAGAGAGAAGTGGGAGAGTCGGGCTTGCCCGGCGGGGGAGTGATCCAGAGAGGGGAAGCGTTCAGGGTCTGCATAACCATTCTAGCGTGCTTTCTTCGTCTTTGTCTGTTTGTTCGCGCAGGTCACAGGCTCAGAGGTCGGATGGCGTCGGCGGCAGACGACTGGAGAAGTATTCGCTGGAGGCAAGATTTGGGTCCAAGTTGGTTCGGATTGGTAGGGAAGAAGCGGACAGGGTTGGTTGGTACAAAATCCAGGTGATCGAGAGTTCGAAGAGATGGTTCATTCTGCTTAGTGAAGACCTTTTAGCTTGGCTTCAGGGTGTGCTTCAAACGGCAGCAATGCGAGCTTGGAGGTTTGGACATGGGTATGTTAAGCGAAGTGGATCCCGTGTGGTTCATGTCGGCAGATCTTCCCGCAAAGGGCGATCTGCCCTTCAGATTTCTGAGAGGGTTGCTAGTGGAAGAGTCTTCAAGATCCTGATCCCGGAGCCGGAAGGAAGATCAGGTTGGGCTTCGCTTACAGCTCTCCTGCAGGATTTTTACAAGCTCGATAGAAGTCCAAAGGCCAGCCACGAGCCACCTTCGTTGTTCCCACTTCATATAAACCCTCGTCCCAGATCGTTTGCTGAGGTTGTTAAGGGAGCTGGGCTCTATGGAGCGGGGGAATGCCGGATTGTAGAAGCGGGTAAATCAAGATTCATCGAAGTCGGAGACAAAGGGACAAATAACAGATTAGAATTATTGGGAAAATGCCTTGTGATTAAGCTGCTGCCGGGAGATGGAAGAACTAGCCTGCAAAATGTCGACGGCGATTTCAGAAGATGGGCGATCAACAAGTGGGCGGTGGACTCAAATTATGAGTGGATTTGCAAAGGTGAAGGTGAATGGATGCTGGTTTGTCCCAGCTGGCAACAAGCAGTGAGGATTAAAAACTTTGATCAATGTCTATTCCGCAATCTGCCGATCAACATTTCGTTCTGGAATGAGGGCTGCAGAGATGCGTTGAAGCCGCTTAAGTGGGTTCGAGTGTTCGGCATTCCGCTGCATCTGAAGAGCATCGAGCTTATTAGAGAGGTAGGCAAGTTCTGTGGTACTCTGGTGGAGGTGGATTGGAATCATTGGTCAGCTGACTTCGTCAGAATTTTGATTAGGGCGGAAAGGGTTATACCGGAGTTTATTCCGATTAGATTCGCTGGATCGGAGTTCAAACTGACGGTCGTGTCACCCCCTGACGACCCAATGGTGATGCCGCTGCTGTCTCGTGGGGAAGCGGGAGTAAAGTCGGACCTCCTTTTCTCAGAAGCCGAAGCGAAGCATGGGGATCGACGAGAGCGTGGCTGCATGGCTGGCGTGACTGTTAGCGGCGGTTCGCATTCTGGGGACTCAAATCCTGATCCATCCACTAAGCAATTGGCTGCTGGGACCATTAGTAATAACCGGGTTAAGAAGGTTTGGGTTAGAAAATTTGGGCCCGTCCGGTCGAGCCCAATTGCTCCATCAAAGTCGGGCTGCCTCCCCCTCTCGGGCCCTTGCCCTTTGGCCCTTCAGAAAGACCCTGATCCTATTTTTGATATGGGTTCCAGGCCCTTTTGTTTCAGTCTGCAGCTCGGGCCTTCTAGCGTCCTCCATTTTCTCTTAAACCAAATCCCAATCCCGATCGACAGCAGCCGAGCCTTTTCTCATCTCTCCTCGATCTCCTTGAACTTCAAGCCGTCCCTTTTCCCTTCCATTCCCGATAAGCCGTCCCTTTTCCCTTCCATTCCAGAGTTGCTTTTCTCATCCCAGGACCCAAACCATCACTCGATGGCTATATGCAGTACCGATTCTGGATCTCCCATCCCCCCCTCCTCCCCAACCCACTGCCAACCCCAGAACCAATTTTCAACCCTGCAGAATTCCTATTCTCCCTCACACTCATCACCTTCAATCCTTTCCCTTTCTCAACCAACCTCCAGCCCACCCCTATCAGCCCCAGAAACCCCCAGCCCTTACTTGGATATTGTGCCTGATTTACCCTCACCTTCTTGCGTGCCAGACAGCCAAGCCATGGAATGGCGGGAGAATGAGTTCCCTTTTGATGCGGAGACTTTGGTCAATAGAAGCCGTGAAGTCGCGAATTTGATAAATTTGGATCACGATGACGGACAAGTGCAAAGAGACATGATTGTTGAAAGGAAGGCCAGGCTTATGCACCAGAGGAAGGTGCGTCCCCGCAGGACAAAATTGGAAATGGAGCATCGAAGGTTGGGAATTGTGGAGATTCCCATTAGTGGAACTCGAAGATCTAAACACAGGGACGAGGGTGTTGATCTATCTATGGTATAATGAATCCTTCTTTAATTGTGTGGAACGTTAGGGGTCTTGGAGATTTCGGCAAGAGAGGGAGGGTTAAAAGACTTCTAGCAAGGCGGAAAGCAAGCATTGTGGGTCTTGTTGAAACGAAATGGAACCAGTGTAGTGATGAGCTCATAGCAGGGGTTAGTGGAAGCAGGGACAGCGGATGGGCGGCTGTGAATGCTGTCTGCAATGCAGGGGGGATCGCAATTTACTGGGACAAAAACTGCTTTCGGAGTGTTTCGTCTAGAGTTGGGGCTTACTATCTTCAGGTTGATTTTCAGGAAGAGTGTTCTCAGAAACTGTGGTCGCTTGCTGTGGTCTACGGCCCCCAAGATAGAGAGGAGAAGCTGGCATTTATCAGGGAGATCGACGATTTATGCTCAGGTACTGAAATCCCACTATGCATTGCTGGGGACTTCAACCTGGTTCGGTCTCACGAGGACTACAGAGGAGCTCGAAGGAATACTACTTTGATGGACGAGTTCAATGAGTGCATTAATATCAACGGCCTTCTCGAAATCCCCCTCAGCGGCAGCCTCTTCACTTGGTGTAGAGGTGATGGTTCTGATTCTTTTTCTCGCATTGACAGGGCGTTTATTAATCAGGGGTTCGACCAACTATATCAGAACTGTAGCATGATGGCACTTGAGCGGGTTGAATCCGATCATAACCCTCTACTGATCAAGTTGGGGGCTCAGGATAGGATTAGAAGGCCCTGGAAATTTGAGAATATGTGGCTGCAAGATGAGAGATTTTTTAGGGATCTGGAGACGTGGATGAGGTCAGATGTTGAAGGATTTGGGGCTGCTTTTCGGTGGAGTCAAAGACTGCAGAATCTGAAGGGCCTTATTAAGGTTTGGAACAAAGAGGTATTTGGTAATATCAATACTCGGATTGAGATGGTGCTGTCCAAGATTAATGAACTTGACTTGGCCGGGCAAGCAAGACCTTTAAGTGGTGGCGAAATTAATGACATTAATGGGCTTAAGATAGACTTAAGCAGACTTCTTTCATTACAAGAAATCTTGTGGAGACAGAAAGTGAAAGAGCAGTGGCTGAAATTGGGTGATGACAACTCGAGATATTTCCATGTGGTGGCAAACAACAAGAGAAGGTTTAATATGATCGAGTGCATCAACATCCAAGGGGTAAGGTTCGAAGGAAGAGCAGATGTGGCGAAAGGGGTTGTTGATTTCTACACCTCTTTCTTCAGGGAATCTGTTGTTAGGAGACCCTTCCCTAGGAACCTTGAACTTGCTAAGCTGAATGAGTCGGAGGCTGCTTCACTCATGCAAGTCTTCTCCGAAGCTGAGATTTGGACGAGCCTTAGAGACAGTGATGGGTGGAAAGCTCCGGGACCCGATGGCTTTTCATGGGACTTCTATAAAAGGTGTTGGCCTTTGATTCGGGGGGAGGTTCTGAATGCTTTGTCCGAATTCCACGAGACGGGGACTCTCCCCAAGCGTATCACTCACTCTTTCCTGTGTCTTGTTCCCAAGAGGGATGCGGTTGAAGATATTAAGGACTTGAGGCCGATCAGTTTGATGGGAAGCTTGAACAAACTCATCAGCAAAATTTTGGCTCGCAGACTTAGTCTGGTTCTCCCGAAGTTGGTCTCCTCTTTCCAGCAGGCCTCGGTTCGTGGCAGGCAGATCTCGGAGGCAGCGCTGATTGGCTTTGAACTCTTAGACAGCAGGAAGAAAAGTCGCAGGCCCGGGTTAATTTTTAAGCTCGATATCGAGAGGGCCTTTGATTGTGTGAGTTGGGGATGCCTTTTCAGGACTCTTGCTGCTGTGGGCTTTCCCAGAAAATGGTGTGATTGGATTAGAGGGACCATGTGCTCTCCGGTCATTTCGACCATCATCAACGGGGAGGCTAAAGGTTTTTTCAACACAGGGAAGGGCCTTCGTCAGGGAGATCCACTCTCCCCTGGGTTGTTCACGCTTATCATGGAGTTGCTGTCCAGTATGTTGTCTAAACTCAGAGATGAAGGTAAAATCAGAGGGTTCTTCATGAACGATCTTGGTAGGGAAGGGGAAGTCACTCACCTGCTGTTCGCTGACGACACGTTGATTTTTTGCGAAGCTTCCGTGGATCAAGTTCTATATATTCTTTCCGCGCTGGTCTGTTTTCAAGCAGTTTCGGGGCTAAAGATCAATCTCGAAAAATCGATGATGATTGCGGTGGGCGATGTCCCAAATCCGGAGTTCTTTGCTGCTGTGTTTGGGTGTAATTGGACCAGGGATGCCGTGAGATATCTAGGGTATCCGCTCGGGGCCAAAGTTAATTCTGCTACTATTTGGGAGCCGATTATTGAGAAGATGGAGAGACGGCTTGCGGGTTGGAAAGGGCGCCTCCTCTCGCTTGGGGGCAGGCTTGTTCTTAACAGTGCGGTTTTGAATAGTCAGCCGACATACTTTTTCTCGCTCTTTAAAGCTCCTAGAGGTGCTATTCAGAAAATGGAGAAGATACAGAGAAGATTCATTTGGGGAGGCACGGGAGAGGATCGGAAGATGCCGCTTGTCAACTGGGATCTTTGCAAAGCTTCGAAAGACAATGGCGGGTTGGCCATAAAGGATCTATACTGTGTTAACAAAGCTCTCTTAATCA